TTGCAGTCTTTTGTAATGTGTAAATAATATATATATATATAACTATATATTATTTAAGGGAACTGAGGAAGCCTGCCCCCTTTAATAGGTTCTGTTGTAGAAGCAACTTGCAATAGAGTTAGCAAGTACACAAGTTGTAACAATGTGTAGGAAGTAGTCTGCAGAGTAAAATAACACGTAAGCGCAAGCACGGGAAAAAATCCTTGCATTCGCATCATAAAGTGGGCGGAGGCACACGCCTATATAAAGCAATGCTCGGCACTCCTCATGGTACTAACTAATGGTCGTCATCCGGTATGAACTGACATGTACAGGACTACTGTACAGTCAGGGTTGGTTTTATATTTCTTTGCTAATGTAGCATTGTGCTGCCAGTTGTTATAGTTATGTGTGATGGTTATGTTTAATCCCATTGTTGTTTACCTTCCATTGTTGTGTTCCTATATGTAAGGTAGCCTAGGGTGGCTAGGTTTTAATGAAGAGCTGTTGTTTCTACTGAATGTATCCTCGAGTCTCTGTAGTATTCCAGATAAGAAAAGGAGTAAAGTCTTCGGAGAGAGGTTGTCTGATCGGAGGTCAACTCGTGTGAGTAGAGTCCATTTAGACATCCTAATTACTGGGCATTAGGGTTAATTGGGAATACCTGTCTGTGTGTGAATTTGACTTGGTTGAGTTACCTTTGAAAAAGGGACTCACACCGTCAGAGTTAGAAGAGAAGTGGAGGCCACTTAGTACGAAAGCGTTAATAAAATTTGCACGTGCATCAAGGAATGAGAACTGTCGCAGTTGCATCTCCAATGCCATAACTGAGATCAGCCACCAAGCCAGCCTGAGAATCAGTTTCAAGGGGGTCACATATAAATTTGTAATTTAGTTATTTTTGTAAATCATCAAGAATGTGGCCAATTGTTTCGAAATGTTATTTATTGAACTTGCTTAAACAAACATGACCTTCACCCAAAATAAAGCTAATCATCTTTATTTCAACTTCAATGCATTGTGGTTCATAACGTTCTATGCATTTAGCATTTGATCAGATCAAAATAGGATTTGATAAAGAATATCCTGTAATATACAGTAATAGTGTATCTGGAATTTGATTTACTTACCTTCACTTATTGATGTGTGGCTAAGCAGAGAAGTTGACCCACATTATAAAACAACAATAACAACAAGATTCCATTTATAGAGCGCCTTTCACGTCGGGAGGATGTCCTAAGGCGCTGGACAGTTGGGTCAGGACCCGAGCAGTGGGGAAATGGTCAGGGTGAGGGGATGAAAGGGAGGGAGGGAGCGAGGAGGGGGTAGAGAGTCGAGAGGGGAGCTGAAGGCTCGGTCAAAGAGAAAGGTCTTCAGACCGGCCTTGAAGGAGGAAAGGGAGGAGGCCAGAGCCTAGGGGCTGAGAGGCTGAAGGCCCGGCCACCGATGGTAGGGCGGTTGGGGCGGGGGATGTGGAGCAGACCGGAGCCAGAGGAACGGAGGGTACAGGCAGGTAGGTAGGGGGATAGTAGGTCGGAGAGGTAGGAGGGAGCAAGGCCGTGAATGGCCTTGTAGGTGAGGATGAGGATCTTGAATTCGATCCTCTGGGGGATGGGGAGCCAGTGGAGGCGAGCGAGGGTGGGAGTGATGTGGTCCCGAAGCCTGGTGCGGGACAGTACACGAGCTGCAGAGTTCTGAATGACCTGCAGCTTGTGGAGGGAGGTGCCAGGAAGGCCGGTGAGGAGAGAGTTCCCATAGTCCAGCCTTGAGGTGATAAAGGTGTGGACCTGAGTTTCAGCAGCGTGAGGGGTGAGGTAGTGCCGTAGTCTGGCGATGTTCCGGAGGTGATGGAAGGCGGTGCCAGTTGTGGCGCGGATATGAGGAAGAAAGGACAGCTCAGGGTCGAACAAAACGCCGAGGTTCCTGACTGGCTTTGAGAGGTGGAGAGTGCAGCCTTGGATGCTGATGGTGTCAGCGCCTGAGGTGCGGAGGCGCTGACGTGAGCCAATCAGGAGGGCCTCAGTTTTGCGCACGTTGAGCTGAAGAAAGTTGTCTCTCGTCCAGGACTCGATGTCGGACAGGCAGCTGTCAGGACATCGGTGGTCGTGGAGTTGAGGGTAGAGGAGGAAAGGTAGAGTTGGGTGTCATCCGCATACATGTGGAAGTTAACCCCATGTCTGCGGATGATGTCACCAAGGGGGAGCATATAGAGGGTGAAGAGGAGGGGACCGAGGACAGAGCCCTGAGGGACACCGCACGAGACAGTGCGGGGGCTGGAGGAAAAGCCGTTTGTGGAAACAAAATGAAGACGGTGGGAGCGGTACGACCTAAACCACTCAAGGACAGGGCCTTGAAGGTTGAGGTGGGAGGACAAGTGGTGGAGGAGGATAGCATGGTCGACCGTATCGAATGCTGCCGATAGGTCGAGGAGGACGAGGAGGCAGAGGGAGCCCTGGTCGCAGATGGTCAAGATGTCATTGGTGACCTTGACCAGGGCGGTTTCTGTGCTATTGGCAGCACGGAAACCTGACCAAAGGGGTTTGAATAATGAATGGGTGGAGAGGAAAGAGCGCAGCTGGGAGGCGACAACTCTTTCAAGGACCTTGAACAGGAAGGGGAGGTTGGAGATGGGCCGGTAGCTTGATAGCTGCGACGCATCAAGGGAGGGTTTTCTCAAAGTGGGAGTGATGATGGCAATTTTTAGGCGAATGGGAACAGAGCCAGAGGAGAGGGACAGGTTGAAGATGTCTGTGATAAGTGGGGCAAGGAGGTGGAGCTGAGAGATAAGGAGTGGAGTGGGGTCAAAGGAGCAGGTGGTGGGTTTCAGGGACAGGATGAGTTTGGTGACAGAGGGTGGGGAAACGGGTTCGAAGGTGTGTAGGGGAGGATGGGTAGGAGTCGGAGTGTGGGAGGGAAGGGGTGGGTGGAAGTTGGAGGGGCAGTGACCGCAGAGCGGTATCCCTTGATTTTGGATAAAAATACAAATATGCATTGATATAGCACCTTTTGTGTCGGATGAATGGCCCGAGGTGCTTAATTCAAGCTATGGTTGGGAGTCGAAGGGGTGGGGAGGGGAAAGATGACTGAAAGTGAGGTCCAAACAGTTAAGCCTTGAGAAGCGTCTTGAATGCAATTACATTGAAGAGGGCAAGCCAATAGAATATTCTGCTTTTGCAAAAAGTTGAAATTAGAGAGTCCCAATTTGGATTGGAAATTTTCAGTCTGACAACTCCTGATTAACTACATTTGAAGATGCAACTAAAAAAGCAATTTTAAGTGCTATCATATAGCAGAGAAGAAGGAATGTCAGAGATGCTTTGTAAATATTTTGCCTATTTTTTATAGAGCCTATTCAGATCGATGTTAAAGATCCCATGGCATCTATATGCTCCCTCTGGGTGAAGTCATCCAAAGTCATCTAACCTTCCACACGCACGCGGATGACACAAAAATCTACTTTTGCCTCCTCCAGTACCAACTCCAGGTCTGCCGATATTCTATCAGCTTGTCTGAGGCCTGGATGAGGGCAAACTTCCTGCAGCTGAATATGGACAAGATGGAAGCCATCCTCCTTGGCTCCCGTCAATGTATTCACTGCTGCGGATCTAAACTCCACAACCTCCCTGGGCTCTCCCTCAGATTCACCAAACCAGTGCACAACCTAGGCATCCAGTTCGACCCCCAGCTGTCCTTCCTCCCCCACATCTGGTCCCTGACCATGACCGCCTTCTTCCACTTCCGGCACATTGTCTGTTTCCGGCTGTACCTTACCCCAAATGCAGTTGAAACCCTTGGGCATGCGTTGGATTACTCTTGGACTACTCCAACGCACTCCTGGCCGGTCTCCCCCATTCACAAGATGCAGCTCATTCAAAACTCTGCGCCCACATACTGACCCAGACCAAATTCCATACCCACATCTCACCAGTTCTGGCCAAGCTCCACTGACCCCCCATCACCGAATGGATCGACTTCAAGATCCTCACACTTGTGTCCAAATCCATTCACTCCCTGGCACCTCCCTACCTCTCAAACCTCCTCACTCACTAATCCACTACCTCTGCGCGACCAGCAAAGGCCTCCTGCTTGTCCCTCGCACCCTCCGCCCCACTATTGGAGATCGTGCTTTCAACCACTACCCCCAAAACTCTGGAAAAATCTCCCTTAATCCCTCTGCCTTGCCACCTCTCTCCCCTCTTTGAGGTGTCTGCTCCACATCTTCCGCCCCAACTGCCCTACCATCGGTGGCCGGGCCTTCAGCCTTTCAGCCCCTAGGCTTTGGAACTCCATTCCCCAGTGCCTTCGCCTTGCTTCCTCCCTTTCCTCCTTCAAGGCCAGTCTCAAGAGCTTTCTCTTCGACCGTGCCTTCAGCTCCCCTCTACCCCCTCCTCGCTCCCTCCCTTCCCTCCCCTCACCTTGACCATTTCCCCCTGCATGGGTCCCGACCCAACTGTCCAGCGCCTTGGGACGTCCTCCCGACGTGAAAGACGCTCTATAAATGAAATCCTGTTGTCCCGCTTGAAAATTTTCCTCTTCAACTGTGCTTACGGCCACCTCCCTCTGCTCGGAGTCAGATTCCGCCACTATTAAGTGCTCTGAGACACTACCCTGCGTGGAGGGCACTGTATAAGTGCAAGTTGTTGTTGTTTTTGTTGGCATGATTCAAAAAGAGAAGGTAATTTCTCCTGGTGTCCTGACCAAATAAAATTAGTCATTCACTCCATGGCCGTTTGTGGGACATTGCTGCGTGCAAATTAGATGCCACGTTTTCCCACAAAAACACAGTCACTCCAACACAATACAAATTTACATTTATATAGCACCATTCACATCAGGAGAAAATCCTAAAGCACTCCACTTTACAATATTACCTATGAAGCACTTTAGGATGCCCTCCTGACGTGAAAGGAAGTGTACAAAATGCAAGGATTAAACTTTAGGATTAAAGTGAATCCATATTGAATCATCTAAAATCTGTTTTTAGCAACACCTTAAATACAACACAACTAACAAATTCTTACCCAGACCATCAGCAGTTTCCCAGTTCATTGATCTTTGCACAGCTTTCTTCCACCAAGCATAACGTTTGTTACTTTCTGAAGATTAAACAAAAATCTAAACATTAATTCTGAAAAACAATGCTTGATCAAAAAACAATTCTTGTTCGAAATCTCCAAATCTCTTATGGACCCCCATCAGAGCATTTGATTTCTGATAGATCTGCATTCACAACATGAACCAATGCTGGCATTTATTACCAAATTAATTGAGTTGAAGTTGATTCCAAGAGGTCTCAGAGGCATCCTTAGAGATGCATATAATATACTATCCTAACTGGAGTTGTGAAAACAAACCTACAGTAAACCTCACATAAGTCACATCAATTGGGACCATACATTTAATATGACTTAAGCAAAGTAGGAGTTGTGTGAAACTTGCATAAATTGGATCATATATGATGTGTGTGAAGTTATGTATAAGTCGGATTTTATATGACTAACACATAAGCAATACAGATGTAATGAACTAGCTGGTGACTTTTAGGCAAGGTTTCTGTATTTGTTTAACCTATACATATCAAAGCTACGGTATCCTATTCTTTCTATGTACAATACTGCACTGTACCACAAGTTAATCATTCAAAGTCTGTGGCTTCAAATTTGGAGGCAATGTCCTTCTTCATTTCAGTATTTGTCTTTCAAAATTGGAGAATTCGGTTCTTCTCCTGATAGGTCCTTGTCACTAATTTGCGTTTAGTTGCCCCCACCCTTTGGAACTCCATCCCACATTCCCTTTGCCTCACTCCCTCCCTTGCCTCCTTCAAAGCACATTTCAAGACCCTCATCTTCAAACGTGCCTTTGGGCACCCTGCTACCCGCCCTCATCCCAACCCCCCAAATTCCTGAATTGTCCAGCACCTTGGGATGTCCTCCTGATGTGAAGGGCACTATACAAATGTAATTTGTATTGTACAAAATTTTGGATTGTGAAGACACCAGATTGTGGAATATCTCCCAGTGTCCTGGGCAACAGTCACCCAGATAAAATTGGTCATTCACTTGATGTCTTTTTGCAGGAACATGCTAGTGCAAATTGATTGCCATTTACTTTATGGTCTTCTTCACTCCTGTTGTTATGTGGAAAATGCTGAAGTAATACTTCCTTAAAGTAATTCATAGATTTGTGATAAGAAGCTTGCTTTCCATTGGCCAATATTTTGTTCGGCCAAGGCAAAATGCAGCTCAATACATCGCATGTTTAAGAAAATAAGAAACGTAAGAAAATGTTCTTATTTCATTGAATCTGACCTATTGGCTGGATTTGTGGTTCAAACTGCTGCCACCGAAATACAGCGAGATTGTCAGGATGTAGATTCCAGACTCCAATACCTTCTGCAGCACCTGCTGCCATGGCAGCACCCAGAGAACTTGTTTCTATTAAGGAGGGTTTTACTGAAAGAAAAGAGAGACTTTTGGTTTACTTATTTTAGGTTTATATAAATTTGGTTTCTAATAAATTTAGAATGAATTATTCCTTTCAGAAAAAACTTGAATATTTTAGAAAGGATCCATTTCAGTAACTCCTACAGACATGCATGAGAGTTCAGTTCAATATTCTTCAAGGAAGGACGGTTTGTGTACTTACCGACTGGTATTGAGAGAATATCAGCTTGAAGCTGCATTAGAACATTACTGTTAGTCATTCCTCCATCCACCTTGAGAGTTGACATTTTAATTCCAGAGTCCTCATTCATAGCATCAAGAAGCTAAAAATATTTTTAAAAATGCACAGAAACATATATTCAATATAGAAAAACAATTTAAGATCACACTCAATCAGGCCCCTTTAAAACATGGATCAATATAATAATAATTAGCAGAAGAGAGCTAAACACAAAGGAGATACAAATAATAATAGTAATTATAACATAAATAATAATCCTTGCATTTGATATAGCGCTTTTCACGTCTTCTAGACATCTCAAAGTGCTTCACAGAATATAATGTTAAGTGAAGTGACTGTATATTTGTGGGCGAAACGTAGTAGCCAATTGTACACAGTAGTGTCCCACAAACAGTCGAGGATTGAGTGACCAAATTATTATTATAATTTTTTTTTAAGCGATTATTATTACCTCCGGAAAGTGATGCGCCAATCGACTAACATTCAGGTGCTAACTATGAAATGTATTGTTAACCACAATTTATAGTTTTTTTATTTTTATATATACACTTATAACATATAACACTTATGTTAGCTTTGCCCCCAAATTATCACAGTAACCAATATGGATCTCAACAGAACTAAGCAGTCTTACCTCACGACTTTGAAAGCATACAGCTTCTAATGCTGCAAATGCAATGTGGTTTCGATTTGTAAATTGGGTAATGCCACATATTATTCTGGAAAATAAGGAAAAGTTATAAATACAATTTACTGCCTATAAATGGAACAGGTATGCAAATGCAATTGATATAATGCAACAGATTTTCATATTTCATGCTTTTTTCAAAATTTCTGGCTACTAAGAATCTTTCCTTGGTAGCACAAGAAAATAATGTCCAGTATTCATATTTAAATGGTTAAGAATTGGAAGGGATCAGCAGCATCCTTGATCAGAAAGCAACAGTAGAAGAGAGATAAACACAAAGGAGATACAAATAGTAATAGTAATTATAATATAAATAATCCTTTCATTTGATATAATGTAGATGTCTCAAAGAAGTCTCAAAGCGCTTCACAGAATATACTGTAAAGTGAATTGACTGTATATTTGTGGGTGAAACGCAGCAGCCAATGCGCACAGCAGTGTCCCACAAACAATTGTGGATTGAAATGACCAATTCTATTATTGTTTTTTTTCTTTGAGGGATTATCAGGAGTGAAGAAACTTGCCCAAGGCTTCGCCCTGCCGGGAATTGAACCCAGGTCTCTCGGTTCAAGGCGAGTGCTCTAACCACTGAACTCAAATGTCCTTCTTACTCTAAATGTAATTCTTACATTTGGCATCGTACTTTTCACAATGGAAGACATCCTAAACAGCTTCACAGATATTGTAAAGTGCAGTGACTGTGTGATTTGTGGGAGAACATGGCAGCCATTTTACAAACAGCCATGAAGCGAGATGACAAATTTATTTGGCCAAGATAGCAAAACTCCCTTCTCTTTTCGAGAGAACTCTGCCTGTTTAGGTGGATCTTAACGTCCACCTAAACAGGCAGAAGGGACCTTGGTTTAACATCTAATCTGAAGGATGGCACCTCTAACAGGTGTAGCACACCCACGGGACTGCACTGGAGTTTTATCTTAGACTAAATGAATCCCAGTGTGGGGTTTGAACCACAAGAATTCTGTCAGGCTTCTAAATCGACAGTAAAAGTTACAATTAAAACAAAAATAGAAGACACCCAGAGAGGGAATAATGGGAAAGTTGCTCCCGCATCTTGGAGAGAAAAGGCATGTTAAAGACGGGATGATAGAATTGAAAGGGGTATGGGATAGTTTGTTTCAGAAGAGAGAGTCACTGGGGGTTGAAAAACAGCAGCTGGTGGATAGGAACTGTGTGGAAACAGGATCAAAAGAGCAGAGTTGGGTTTCTGGTATAGGCATACACCCGAACTCATCAGTAAAGGTATTCCAATATTTGAGACCTAGCTTTATTACGAAACATTAAACAATTTTTCAAATGTCGTAAGTCTTAATTATGATTGTGTGATTACTGTGATTAGAAAAATACCTCCTATCTTTATAAAATTGAAAGAAAATAGCATGTTACCAAGCACTAACAACATACAGAAACAATCAGCAATTTCCAGAAAACCATCTTGGCTTGGCTCGGTCTGTAAAACTCTCCTCTCAGGGCAAAAGGTGGGTTCACCCCAAGTCAAAACTTGAGCTCATAATGCTAGCCTGCCACTGCACTACCGGGGTATGCTGCGTTTTCAGAGGTGCATCCTTTCAACAACAACAAAATGACATTTGTATAGCGCCTTTCACGTCGGAAGGATGTCTCAAATGCTAGACAGTCAGAGCTGGGGGTCGGGATCGGGAAGGGTGGAGGGCAGGGAGGGAAGCAGGGTGATCGAAAGCACAGTTGAAGAGAGTCTTGAAATGGGTTCTTGAAGGAGGCAAGGGAGAGGGCGAGGCAGAGGCACTGCGGGCTGGAGTTCCAGAGAGCAGGGGTAGAGTGGCAGAAGGCCTGCCCACCAATAGTGGGACGATCGAGGTGGGGGAACGTGGAGCAGGCCGGAGCCCGCTGAATGGAGGGAGTGAGTAGGATGGTAGGGGGTTAGGAGGTCACAGAGGTAGGGGGGAGCAAGACCATGGAGGGCTTTGAAGGTGAGGCAAGCAAATGAGGCAAGCAGACATTAAAGATCTAACAACCCAATTCAAAAAGACAAGGGAGTTTCTTCAGGTTTCGTGGCTAACAATTCTGCAGATAATTGGCTGTTTGTGGGATTTTGGTGTGTGTAAAATAGCTGTCTTGTGTCCCTACAAATAGTCACACCACTTGACAATACCTGAAAGTTTAATGTTATAGATATGATATCAAATGCAAGTAATATTTATTATTATTGCATTAAGAATCATGATGAATACTGTAGAATCACAATACATTCTGCTACTTGGTATAGGGGGGCAACAAACAAGAACAACACATTACACTGTAAAGTGCTTTTCGTGTCAGGGATTTAGATTCAATAACATCCCATCCTATAATTCGTTAAGAAGGTCCAAAAAGCTAAAGATCAAGTTTAACTGAAAATACTTACCCTCTTGCACTTGCGTCCCAGTATGGTGCATATAACCCTGAGAATGCTGGAACAAAGTAACAACCATAGGAGGAACCCACAGATGCTGCAAATTTCTCTGAGAACCAGAAAGAGGAAAAGTAAGCTTAAAGCAATACAGTAGAGCCTTGTTAAAATAGCTGGGATCCATTACAATCCCAATCAGGGAATTATTGCTAGTGCTGTCACTGCACATGGCTCAGAAAAGCTAAGCAGCTCAATTTGGCACAAATTGCATCAATCACAATGGTAGCATGTTGCTGCACTTTCAATTCATTATCATGCTGAAAGCTTTCATGATTTTGAACCAATAAAGATGAAGGAACAGTGATATATGTTCAAATCAGGACGGTATATAAGGTTGCAGGACCGAGCCGAAGATTGATTGTCGAGTTACTTCAGTTTATTCTGTCATATAATTACGGAGAACACCTGAACCCTAATACATCCACCAGTCCACTGCTGCTCTACTTATAATAGGGCAGTTGTAAACATAAAAAGCAAATACATACCAATTTCAGATGCTGTACTAATAATACGAAGGTTGTCTCTCAGCCAGCGTATCAAAAGACCACCTATAGCAACTGATCCCTAAAAGAATACAAATAATATGATAAAAACAGAAGAAAAAATCAATAATCTATTTTATATTACCGTAAGACACCATTCAGTGAAGCCCATTGATGTCAACTACCAAATGAGTAAACTATTTTCTCACATCTGCAATTTTCAGGTAATTATGCTCTGGTTTTAGTTATAGATCATTTAACTGCCCTAGATGCTTTGTTGTGACACCAGACTAATGATAGGGTAGTAGGTGTGGATAGTATAAACTTGGAATTCCTAAGCTGCTCCAGACAGCGGGGTGGAAAATGTTGAAAATACTAATGGTCCATGCAGTGAATCCCAAACCAGTCTTTAAGCTTTCAGTTCCAGAGTGTAAATCTGATGTTTACCACAATAGTCAAGGCAATCACAAGTCTATAAACTACAATCTTAATAAAAAATAACTTGCCTCTAGAGCATAGAATACAGGCTCCTTCTTGCCCATTTGATATGCAACAGTTGTCAGAAGGCCATGTTTTGATATTATAGGCTGCGGAGAACAAAGACAGTACAACAACAACAACAAGATTACATTTGTATAGCGCCTTTCACGTCAGGAGGATGTCCCAAGGCGTTGGACAGTGTACAGCATTTCAGACCTGAGCTGGTGTCAGTGGGGGAGAAGGGAGAGGAAGGGAAGTTGAGTAGCCGATGGCATGGTCGAAGAGGAGGGTCTTGAGGCAGAACTTGAAGGAGACTAGGGAGGGGGCGAGGCGGAGTGACTGGGGGATGGAATTCCAGAGGTTGGGGGCAGAGTGGCTGAACGCTCTCCCGCCAATTGTGGGGCGGGTGGGTCGGGAGTCTTGGAGCAGGCCAGAGCCGGCTGAGCGGAAGGAATGGGCGGGTTGGTAGGGGGTTAGGAGGTCGCAGAGGTAGGGTGGGGCGAGGGGATGGAGGGCTTTGTACGTGAGGACCAGGATCTTGAACTGGATCCTCTGAAGGATAGGGAGCCATTGGAGTCGGGCGAGAGTGGGGGAGATGGGGTCAAGGAGTTTGGTGCGGGAGAGGATACAGGTGCAGAGTTCTGGATTATCTGCAGCCTGTGGAGGGAGGAGTTGTGAAGGCCGACAAGCAGGACGTTTGCAGTCGAGCCTGGAGGTGATGAAGGCATGAACAAGAGTTTCAGCGGCCTGAGGGGTGAGGTAGTGGTGGAGTCGGGCGATGTTATGGAGGTGAGGGAAGGCAGAGCAGGTCATGGCTTGGATGTGGGGAAGAAGACAGTTGAGGGTTGAACAAGACACCTCGGTTCCTGACTGGCTTGGTGAGTTGAAGTGTGCAACCATGGAGGTTGATGCTGCCAGAGCCTGAGGTGCTGAGGTGCTGAGGTGCTGGCGTGAGCCAATCAGGAGGGCCTCAGTCTTGTTCACATTCAACTGTAGGAAATTTGCCCTCATCCAGGACTTGATGTCCGACAGGCAGTCTGTCAGGACAGCAGTGGTCCTGGAGTTGAGGGTGGAGGCAGAAAGATAAAGTTGAGTGTCAACCGCATTCATATAGTAGTTGACCCCATATCTGTGGATGATGTCACCAAGGGGGAGCATGTAGATATTAAAGAGGAGAGGGCCAAGATCAGAGCCTTGGGGGATGCCAGACCTGACAGTGTGGGGGCTGGAGGAGAAACCGTTAGAGGCAACAAAGTGGAGATGGTGAGAGAGATAGGAATCGAACCAGGCAAGGGCAGATCTGTGAAGGTTGAGTAAAGCAGAGAGGCGGTGTATGAGGATGGAGTGGTCGACAGTGTCAAAGGCAGCAGAGAGATCGAGGAGGACAAGGAGGCAGACATTAGTCATTGATTTTGCAATTTGAACTCAACAGAACTGTGTAAATAGGAAGGATATGGAAGATTAAAGGCTAATCTGAATACAAATATATTTTAAACTGAATCCAATATTGTATGAAGCCATTCAATATTTTTCATAAAATTTACAATTTCTTAAATTCAAATTTCTGATGTTTCGTTTAAAAAAAATACCTCCTGCCTAAACAAAATGTGTGATTTGAATCAGAGGTAAACTAACCTTCTTGCCTGTGTTGCACAGGAGGAAACAGCCTGTTCCGTATCTAGAGGAAAACAAATGTCATACATATGGTTAGAACAGGTAAGTCTTTAGAAATTAGAAATGACAATGTTTGAACGTGTGTAATAAGAACTTTATTGAAATAAAATTATGCTGAATTTTAAAATCAAACAATTTGATTCATGTTCTTTTCTGCTAAGTCTAAAGATTTATAAAAGTCATGAAGCATATTAGAAATCAACAATCTGCAGCAGTTACAATCACAACTTGTACTTATCTGGAGACATTTAAAGGACAGAATGAGATGACCTTACAGATATATATGTATTTTTAATCAGAATTGAAAACATAAACCCAGAACAATACTTTCAGATGCAACTTGGCAGAACAAGAGGACATAGTCTTAGACTTCCAAATGGCAATTTGCGGACTGACACAAGGAAGTATTCTTTATTCCAGAGAGTAAATGATGAATGGAACAGGTTGCCAGGATTGCTGTTTCTGGATTTGTTTGAGTTTCAGAGAGGAAATTACTTTGTTCAGGTTTCTAATATGCTTTCTGGCTTTTATAAATCTTTAGACTTACAAATCCTTTGTCCAGGAAGAAGGTAAAACCTTCCACATTCTTTTTATTACCAAAGCCCACAAACCTACCTTTATTTCCATAAATTTTGAGAGGGTTTGGTTAGAGTAACTTCGCAAGAAAACACTTTTGCAGTTCCACAGCTACCCACTATCATGTTGAACAAACATGTAGAGAAAACGTCCAATTGGGTCTAGATTTTACAGCATTCACAATATGGGAAACCGTTCAGTTCAATCTCAACTTTAAAGCTAACCTTAACCAATTCTTAATTGCATTTAAGAATTTGCCAAATTCTGGCTGCTCAAAATGCTAAATAGTGTAAATCCAATCAAAAGTGGAATTTCACCCCAATAGTTGCAGAACACATGCAACATCTCAAGGTTATAGAACTAGTGTATCGAAGAGGAAATAAGGAAGTAAAAATAACACACTGTTAAAAGCAAATTTTGATAATATTTATGCTCCTGCAGAAATATACTCAAATAATATTGTTGTTTGAACAAAAACTTTATGCATACAAAATCCTACTATTTTAATTTTTATACACTGTGGTGTCAAGTAGATAACTAATAATAATTCCCTCGGTTCTGATAAACTCATTCAAACAGTGCATGCTTAATCCCAAAAAATAAAGCTCATACTTACGTGTTTTTTGACTGACCCGGACTAAAACACATCTGTCCAACTAAGGCAGAATTTTGGTCACCTAAACACTGCGGAGAGACCAATGTTAAAAAGTTGAAAAATAATTATCTCAAAAGTTATGTTTACATTTGTGTTTAAATAGAAACACTATCTAAGTAATACCTAAAGAGAATTAGTCGAGTCATCTGAATCAGATATTGGTGAAGGTACTATACTTACAAACAAACCATGATTTTAAAAAAAGGGTGGAGGTATCATTCGATGTTTCTATCGTTCGAATACTGACTGATTTCCTATGTCAAATCCTGAGTAGGAACTTGAGTGAGCTTGGAAAACAAGTGTGTGCCAGTTCACTGGAGGCTGTCTAAGCCTTCTTATTTATAATTTTCAGTTGGTTACCTTATCCCACCATTACCCAATTCCACCAAATACTAGGTACCCAAAGTAGCAATGGTTTCATTGCACTTTATTTTGTTCCATTCAAATATATCTCCCACTACTTAGCCTATCTGTTTCAATTGAAATCTTCATAAATTCCATTCATCTTCCTAACATCAATGATCTTCCCATATTATAATATTATAAGCAAGTAGTTTCCACGCCACTGGAATGCGTAGGTGATAATCTAATGGTTCTATGACATTAATATTATATTAAAGAGCTTTCACAATCAGTAACCTATATGAAAAAATCTTAACAATTTCCTATGCACACTCATATCCAAAAATGGCTTACTTCTCGGGCCAACTACACTTAATGACAGCATACTCAGTGGATGTAGACTTCATATAATGTTTTTGAAGGGTTTTCCTCAGAAACACAAATGAAGCCAAATGTATGTTTGGCATTTGTCAAATTAAATTGAATACTAAACTTGGAGTGCTTCACAAGCAACTTTTGGTCATTTTACTTTTCAAAAAGAGTAGTGATAATAATAATCCTTTGCATTTGATATAGCGCCTTATCATGTCTGATAGTGATTTCTTAAGGAATTATCCAACATAATTTCAAAGTATCTATTTTAGGAAGAAATATTTTTATATTCTTTTACACTCAGTGACTAATTCAGTTGAATATTCAAAAATCAAAATGATTACTGAAGCTCAGTGGTTAGTCCTGTAGCTCAGTGGTTAGAGCACTCGCCTGACAAGCGAGAGACCTGGGTTAGATTCCCGGCAGAGTGAAAAGTCGGGCTACTTTCCTTACTCCACACGTCTCTGTTTTCCTAGCAGTAAGTAGGAACCCGGTTGTTAGTCGATTGGCAGATTGCTTTTCCGAGGATAATAATTCCTTAAATCCACGACTGTTTGTGGGACACTGCTATGCACAATTGGCTACTGCGTTTCGCCTACAAAATATACAGTAAATTCACTTCACAGTATATTCTGTAAAGCGCTTTGAGATGTCTAGAAGATGTGATAAGGGGCTACATAAAATACAAGATTATTATTATTTTTATTACGCAATCACAATTGCTATACAACTTCCACTTGTTAATTTAATTAGTAAAAACAAATTAAAACATTAAATATTTGAGATCTTCAGAAATGTAATTATACAAAAGGTACAGCATGGACTTACCCCTGAAATTGGCACATCGGCTAAACTCCCAAGTTTCTATCAAAAATAACAACAGTAGTTATCAATAATGGTGTACTGCATTTCTAACAATATGTGTACCTAAAATTGATATTCAAACTATTTAAATTAAACCGCTTCATGATGCCTTTTGAAAGACTTTGTACACAGCGCACACATCATATCAAAGTTTTTTTGGTGGTCATTTGTGTCTACATCTGTTACTACTTGCCCTGTACAATTACATTAATCATAGTTTATAACTTCTAACAATCGGTACTCTAAAAACCATGGAGTACTTTTTGGAAGTAGTCCATTCAATAGTGTTTACAAAAATAACTAACTAACTAACTAAACTAACTAACTAACTAACTAACTAACTAACTAACTAACTAACTAACGCCTTCTAACAACAATGGCTGCAAAATTCCACCTAGTCTGTAAAACCATTTTGTTTCCAATTTTTTAAATTACGTAGAATTGTGAAAAAAATCTTAATTTGTTGGCCAATTCTTTTTTAAAAGAACCAAGCCTCCAAATTAAACCAGAGCTGGCATTTATATACTCACTTAGAATAATGTCTGCAGTATAATGACAGCTTAGATGCCAAGCAAGGGAGAGGGGAAAGGTGAGATGACTAGAATGGGGTCAGACGTAAGCTTTAAGGCAGGATATGGATTTAAATACAGATGAAGAGGGGGAGGGGTAGAGAAAAGGAGTTCCCAAGGCTAGGGGAGTAATAATTGTGGGCGTAGGCACCAATAGTGGTGCGGATAATGTTAAGATGTATCAAAAGATCAATAGCAATTTACTCACCATTGTCTTCAAATCCCTCCACTCCTCTGCACACCCTCTACCTCTCTGATCTCCACTCTCCTCACAACAGTGCCCGTTGCCTTCACTCCGCCGGGACTGACCGCCTCCTTGTCCCCCGAATCCTCCACTCCACCATCGGCGGCTGTGCCTTCAGCCACTACGCCCCGAGGCTCTAGAACTCCCTTCCTCACTCCCTTCACCTCGCCCCCTCTCTTCCCACTTTCAAGTCTTGGCTGAAGACTATTCTTTTCGACTTTGCCTTTGGTCACCTTCTTCCCCCTCCCCCTGGCTCAGCCCCGGGATCTGTTAGGGACATACGTGCATGTGACTGTCATGAAGGTGAATGGGGAACTAGATGGACCTTGATCTTTTTATCATCTAGCATTTCTTATGTTCTGATGGATGAGGTGGTGGATGAACAGCAGGCACAAGTAGGCCAATCACAGGTCATGGGTTGGGGGAAGATCAGAGAAATAGAGAGGTGGCAGGGCATGAAGGGATTTATCGGTGAGAGCGATATCCCTGAATATCAATCCATTAGGAGCCAGGAAGACAGTGGAGTTTGGCAAGGATAGGGGTGATGGTAGGTGGAGAAAATGTTGGCGGGCGCCAAGGGAGATGGCTTCCACCTTGCCTATGTTAAGCTGCAGAAAATTGATGCTCATCTTGGCCCTTTCAAGCAAGCAGTCAGAACATCAATGAACTTGGAATTGAGACTAAAGTAGATTTAGGTGCCATCTACATACATGATAAGCTAACCTCATGTCTGAGGATGATGTCGCCAAGTGGGAACATATAGATGGAGAAACCTTTAAGATTGGAATGAAGAATTTTGCACAATTCTCTACGATTTTAAATTGAAAGACAATAGTAACCAATAGCAATAACACTACAAAGTTGAAGTTAAGAGCAATAAATACTAATATAATTTATGGGATGTGCAGCTTTAGGGATTCGCTCACCTTTTAAGCCACAGGAGAGCAGGACACCACATGGATCTCAGCACTAAACATTGATGCTGTGACATCCAAATATATTATAAAAGGTATTGTCAATCGGTTCCCTAGAATATAATTGAAGCCTAATTCAACTCCAATGGTGTGAGTATGAAGAATGAAGAACAACATCTCTGTTTCCTGATGATAGTTAAGCAACAAATTTACTGTGCACTCTCCATTTCTTCCCCCAGTATTTACAGCTCCTGGGAAAGCTTTAATTTTTTTCAGATGTTTCTTAGCATGGTTTTAATTGCTAGTATGTACATAATGCAAATGGATAAAGTGCTGATTCTTTGGTTGTTGCTAAACTTACCAAATTTAGAGGGTAACTTTCCCAGATTCTCTACTGGTCAATAAATACAGTGTGACTTTATAATTCCATGATAAAATAATCAACTGGTTTGTACCTCGTGGTTAAATATAATACAACTGTATATTGTGTTTCCATATAGTGTTTTTCAAATTTATCTTGTCTGGCTGAGAAAAGTTTCAATCTACAAATGTAATTGTCTTGAAGCATCTAGGTAAATCTAGGTCATCTACATATAGCAGAGTCACCTCACTGTATAACTGCATTTTGATATACTCTTATCTTTCTTCCCCTTAACCAGTTATTAATCCATATTACCACTTATATTCAACAAAATTGGTTTTAAACAAATCTCTCCTGTTTTGCAAAGCACTTTGGAAGTCTAGATTGAGTACATCACATGCATCACGGTCAGAGAAGATCTACCCCATTCTAAAATCATGTTGTTTGTCATTTGTACTTGTACCGGAACTTTACCGTTTTGCTTCTAATGATTGACTTTCTTAGTTCCTCAATTATTGCAAGAGAAAAACTGGTGTGACAGCCACTATACTCTCTCAAATCAATTGTCAAGCCTATTTGCTAGACGAAGCGTGGCACACACCTCGGCTAACTATCAAAGTTGCCGTGACAATATCAACCATTCCTCTCTCTCTAGTCTGGAAGGAAATCTTCCTTCCACTTCAGGAACATCTGGACGCAAGGACACCTCCAAGCTCCTTTTCTCCACCACGAACTACCTCCTTCTACCTTGCTCCCAAGATTCTTCCATCTTTACACCACTAAATCTGAAGTATGGATATAATTTATGGTGTTCAAATATGAAACAATTCCTCAGTCACCTTTGCCTCCTCTACCTCACCCTCTACCCCACCCCTTTCTGCCCAACCAGTGCTTATTCCCTGTCCTTTCACTTTCCTTTATCTATATCTTGCTCCCTTGATGGTATCTTCAGATAATGGTTACTTCGTGTGAACATTAGATAAAACAACGCTAGCCTGTTTGGCTCTAGCCAGCACGTTCTTGCCTCGTACTTCAACTCAACCAACTTTCCCAGTTATTCAATCTAACTCACAGTGCCAGCGTGCAATCTTGGTGTTTTGTTCTTCCCTCAGCTCTTTTTCAAACCCCATATTTGATGCTTGACTAAGATTGATCTTTTTTCAGCTCCAAAATAATGTAGAGTAATAATATATATAATCCTTGCATTTGATATAGCGCTTTTCACATCTTCTCGACATCTCAAAGCGCTTCACAGAATAGACTGTAACGTGAATTTACCATATATTTGTGGGCGAAATATATAATATTTAATTATATTAAATTCCTTTAATATATATTTTTTATTAAAAATTAACAAAAATTAAAATTAAAATTGAATTAAAAATTCCTCTAGCAAATAGGCCTGACAATTGATTTGAGACAGTATAGTAGCTGTCACACCAGTTTTTCTATTGTAATAATTGACAAACTAAGAAAGTCAATCATTAGAAGCAAAACGGAAAATATATAATATTGTATAATGATACAAGTGGACAATTAATATGAAAACCACAGGTAAATTCGGATCAGGGAAATATTAACCACCACAAGAAGACTTTCTTTAAATAGCAATGGAAGAGTGTTCCCTTTTCACCCACCCTGCATCATGAGACAATTAGAATCTAAATTATAACACAATAAAAATGTGAGATAACATATCTACCAAAATGGGAAGTTCTATATTATACTTGCCTTATTAGCGAAGGTTGACTACTACATTTGTGCATATAACATTTGCTTTTATTTGTAATCAATTGTATAATGTACAGTTCTTTATTTTGTTTAATTTATGTGGAAGGCAATATACAAATGCAAACTTATTATGAATATTATAATACAATGCAATTTACACTTATATAGTATATTTCACATCAACAACAACAACAAAATTACATTTATAGAATCAGGAGGAGAATAAGCCAAAGAACAGATAATTGAGACCAAATCTGGATGTGTGCTTGGGAAGTCTAATAGGGACATGCCCTTCTTTGCCAAATACTCACTAAACCAATTTGAAAGTAAAACTGGAAAAGTTGAATAGCCGTTCAAAGTTTGGATATCAAAATATCAGCACTAGCTGCCAAAAAGCATGATAGTAGGAAATCAATAATGTGGTCACGCAAGATCAGTTTAAAGGACTGCAGTTTGTGCACCGCTCTTTAATCATCACCAGCGAAAAATTGTAAATCAGTGCCCAATTTGATCGTTCACAAGCGTCATCTCAGGCTTACACCAAGCCACTTCTGAAGCTAGCCACTGGCTCACCAATCTGGACTTGGTTATCTGAACATGGCTAATCGGCTCTCTTGCCATACGAGAGAAAAATTATCACCACCAATCTTTAAGGAACAGAATACATTTAGGAATACCATAATTTTGACTCCTTAGTATTTCAACACTGTACAACCAGTAGGCAGTCAACAACACAGATAAAAGATAACTTTGCCAATAGTTTAGCCAATGAATGTAGAAGCATTGTAAACATATCCCTATAGTAAAACTCAATGGGTAACGTTGGTTGGCTTACCACTTTTCCATAAATTTCAGATGAACTTTTCACTTCTGGGAGGACACTCATTGGAACTTCAAAGAATCTAGAATAGCAAACAAATATTCAAATGGTGCCTATGAAAGCTAGAAAGGGCAAATAAGTTGTTTTTAGATTTGAAGTTGCAATCTGTACTAAAGAAGAATCTGTACTAAAAGTTGCAATCCGTTCCAAAGAATAATCAAAAAGAACTAAAGAAATAAGAGTGGTGAGGTGTGGTTGAAGTAAAATAAAATCAGTTTATTTAAGAGGAAACTTGATTCTTACATGAGAGAGAATGGAATAGAGGGTTAAAGGAAAGGGGAATCAAATCAAGTGTGGAGTATCAACATTAATATGGGCTTGTTGGGCCAAATGGTCCATTTCTTTGCTATATTTGCATTTACTGGACTGCATTTAATTGCAGGAATGTAGTCTTGATCTGTCGACACATGCACAGAAGAACTTAATTTCCTGCGATTCAATGCAATTCCAATGCTTGCCAGTAAGTGTGATGCAGTGATGGGTCAAGACGTATTGAATTGCAGAAAACATAGTCTTGAACCATCATCTTTTGCAGTGACGAAGTACTTACAGGCGCACTTACCGGCTGCGTTGAATTATACATATGCAGTGCAGATTATTGATTAAATCGGATATTATATGACTAATAGTTTGTTGCAATTGGGATTTTGCATAAATCATATTAAATGTTATGATCCCGACTGATACGACCTATGTGACTTTTACTTTCGTGAATTATCACAGATTTAACTACTTTGAGATCTCTTCCACCTAATCACCTACATGGTGGGGAGGGGGGAAATATTCAAGAAGGATATCAAGGCCTTGGAGAAGGTGCAGAGGAGATTTACCAGAATGGTACCAGCGATGAGGGATTTTAGTTATGTGGAGAGACTAGAGAAACTGGAATTGTTCTCCTTACAGCAGAGAAAGTTAGGGGGAGATTTAAGAGAAGTGTTCAAATTATGAGGGGTTTTGATAGAGTAGATAGGGAGAAACTGATTCCTCTGAATCTACCCCTCCATTCATGAGAACAAATTCAACTTTAGCATCTACTGGTAACTAGTTTTATCAGTTGTAAGCCTCTAAAACCACTCTGAACCCTTCAATTGTATAACGTGGGGTCCTGTAGCTCAGTGGTTAGAGCACTCGCTTTGCAAGCGAGAGACCTGAGTTCAATTCCAGGCAGGTCAGGGCGAAACCTTGGGCAAGTTTCCTTACTCCACATGCCTAATAATCCTCAAAACAAAAACAATAATAAATTGGTCATTTTCAATCTACGACTGTTTGTGGGACATTGCTGTGCGCAATTGGCTGCCGCGTTCGCCCACAAATATACAGTCAATTCACTTTACAATGTGTTCTGTGAAGCGCTTTGGGACATCCTCCTGACGTGAAAAACGCTATATCAAATGCAAGGATTATTATTATTAACAATAACAACACAGTACATCATGCAAACATTATACAGAAACAAACATATTTCAGAAGAACCCATGGCAGATTGCAAAAGTGTGGGCAATTAAACAAATATTCTAAGTGTAGCTTAAGAATTGTATTGGTAAGATTGAGGGAAGCAATCTCAAATTTAAAGTTCCACTGATTATAGTTTTCAGAGCATCTTTCAATTCAGTGTATCTTCATTTCTATCTTCAACTAAATCTTCAACTAAATAACAAAAAAGGCAAATGTGCAGTTATCCAGTGTCTCTCTGCATGTGATTCCAATTACTGCATGTAATTGTAGAATAATTCCATTAGTCATAGCTTACTCGCATAGCTCAGGATCCCATTCAAGAGTGTTGATGTTGAACAGCATGGTCCTGGAAGCATTGGTCACATCAGTACAGTGAACACCATTGTTTTGTCCACCTGTCAAACACTAAAACCACAAATAATGCCTTCATTATTGTTAAACAGATAAAATAAATGAAATATTTCACTAGTCATTTCTGCAAAACTGCTGCCTCCCCAACAGAGTTCTACAGTACTTGAGTTGAAGATTAAGCTCAAGGATAGCACCAAAGAGAAACTAGCAAGAATACCTGAGAAATCTATTGTAAAGATGATGAAGACCTGGATAAGAGCTTCAGCAGCAGTGGTAGTGTGGTAAAAGTGCAACAAGGCAACGTTCTGGAGATAGAACAACCTGTCCTGACGACAGATTTAATTAAAACTTAGTTCAAACCTAGCACAGTGCTTGATTTAGGGGCGAGAAAGAGCACCTTCGAAGTGGACTACAATGCAAGAAATCATGGGGCTGAGAAAGGTTAGTTGTTCGTGAGCCTGGCTGCGTTCGATCCAGGGAATAGGTAATGCAGCAGATTACTCTGCTGAGACCTGAGAAAGCGATAGGTGGACAGATAGGAAGTTTTAAAAAAAAATGTTGAATGCACACCAGCCCATGAATCTACAAAGATAGTGGCTGTATTGAGATGTGAGACAGTCCGATCTAATAGGGACAAAGGCCTCAAAATAGAATTAAAATAAGTTGTTGACACAAATATGATTGTGAGTATCTAGCAAGAGAGGAAATTGAAGATTAAAGTGGGACACTGATTCTTACTAAGGAACCAGCAGAGATGTCAGATTCACAGAATTGTTACAGTCAATGCACTTTATAATATATTCTGTGAAGTGCTTTGAGATGTCTTAACCCCATGATAAGGCGCTATAACAAATGCATTTTGATTATTATTAATGAGAACATTATTCTCATGGACCTGATTTTTGAGGGGGGAAATGTAGCAGTAAAGTGTTTGTGTTCCTTCAAATTCCCGTCAATGTAAAAATTGTTTTGTAGTGAAAGTACTTTAAAGGGATGATTGTGCACTGAATATGCGGAATACTTCCAATTCTAAAAAAACAGGTAACACTCAAATTTGCTTTGGATAGCTCTTTTCAAAGAGCCAGCACAGACACGATAATAATAATAATCCTTGCATTTGATATAGCACTTTTCACGTCTTCTGGACGTCTCAAAACGAATCACAGAATATGCTGTAAAGTGAAATGACTGTATATTTGTGGGAGAAACGCAGCAGCACAGCAGTGTCCCACAAACATTCGTGGATTGAAAATGACCAATTTATTATTGTTTTGTTTTGGAGGGATTATTATTAGGCGTGTGGAGTGGGCCGAATGGCCTCCTTCTGTACTGTATAATTCTGTGATTCTATGAAATGACCTTAGTCATCCCTAAACAATTTATACGTAAAAAATAAAATAAGATTTTTCAGAGCAGCACAGTTCTGCATCATATTCTCATATCTTAGTTGCCACCTTAAAGCAAGTTTGGAGACTATCTTAGGATGACTGCTCCAAATAGTGATCTTTGTTCTTTACTTTCAAAATAAAGTATTTTATCAAAAGCTCATTTATTACAGTAAATTTTATACAGATTCTACATTTATATACATCAGACATTTTTGGTAAATCAGTTTATAATTATAAGTGGGTTACCCAGATTAGCCAAGTGTCAACCGTTCCAAACAGAGCTCGGCCTTCTTTTACAGCTACTTTAACTCCTGGAACATTATCCAAGATCCACCGAAGTTTCACAGCACTGAAATAGGTACTGAGTGGAAGGCCAGTCTTCTCCTGAAAAGAGTAAAATAAATGGAAACTATATTCAGTTAACCATCTCATGTTAGTTTAATATTCATGATATATAATATATACATACAAATGTTATGCATATAATTTATATTACTAAATACTCAAATTGAAATACTGTAGAGTACAACATCTGGTATACACTTTTTTGGAACCACTTTTAATCGGAATGGAATAGGTGGCTATCACAGACGAGAAACCTCTGCATACAGGTTATTTCAAAATATGCAGCATTAATTATTATTATTATAGAGCACCTTTCACGTCCTCCCGATATGAAAAGTGCTCTATAAATGTAATTTTGTTGTTGTGTATTAATATTATTATTAACCATAATACTTACATTTCGTAAGGAGCCTTTCACATCGGGAGGACTTCTCAAAGCGCTTCACAAGAATGACTATGTTTTTTTAATACCTCACCTGAAGATAGTTTTTGTTTTTCCCTGGTATTTTCTTAATCAGTTGTTCTACAGTTGACTGTGTTCTAACATCTAGCCACACTGATGAAAAAAAACTTACAGGTAAATAAAGTGTGCAATTCCAGTAGTGACACAAACATAATGATTGAACAGTAGTGGGTCCTAAACATTTGAATTACTACTGAACCATTTTAATGTACAATTATGATTTTACTCATTTATGTAAGTCTTGATAGTTTTCAATTTGAAGTCAGTCAAAATAGTCGGTATCTTTTCGAATATCCTCCAAATCATGTTAAGTAGATTCTAAACATTTTTAGAAATATAGATAACTTAGAGCTGTAAGGTCACCAGGGACATCACTTCCTGTGCATCATGATGCCTGTGTAGTGCAAAAGAAGTGACGTCCTTGGTAACCTGAAAGTCGGCAAGATCTGCAGTCAAAAGGAAAACCTCCCTTTGGGAAAATGCTGCCACTCATTCAGTGCCTGTGAAATTTTAGCATAAATAGCGTCATTTAAGATGTAGGTCATAGTACAATTCTTCAGACTATTAAATTACACCATACAGCTGTCATAAAATATCATCATATCAGTAGTAATAATAGATAACTAAATAATGTAGCGCACAGTTTTAGTTGTTGAAACTTCCTGGAACTTAAAAAGTGAGCAAAAATTTAACGCACAAAATTAGCTTCTAAAATAATACAAGTTTGACATTAGTAATGAAATGCAATTATAAAAATAGTGAAATTGAATGCCAAAAGAAGCCTATACAGTAAACCTCACATAAGTCTTATCAGTTGGGATCATACATTAAATATGACTTATGGAAAGTATGAGTTATGTCAAACTTGTGCTGTATATATGATATGACATAAGTCGTATCATATATGACTTATATAAATTTATGTATAAGTCTGATTTCATATGACTAACACATGACAAATAGGAAATTGAACGGGTCATGGTCAGACACACGACTTAGGCGATTGTACAATTCATACAAGTCACACTTATGCAAGTTTTATTATATATTTTATTTAATCTTGTTTCTAGAAATGTAAATTAAAAATAGGAGATTTATAAAAGAGTTACTTACAAATTGCATTGTAGAGTGGTTCCCCAGTTGTCTTATCCCATATAATGGTTGTTTCTCTCTGGTTAGAAATTCCAATTGCTATAAATATGAAATATTAACATGTATTCATTTGTTGGTTAAAACTACATATGCATAGCAAGAAATTTAATTTCGATTTTTAAAATATCCTTGAGAATATTACATATAAAAATAAATATAATAAAATCTAAGTAAAATATTAGGGTTGCTTTACCCCCATCCCTCAAGAAATACAGATCACTGTGTGAGACTCACTTCTTTACCAGAGGTTGGAGTGAGCAAGATGACTTATTTGATTTTAACCAATTGAAAATATGAGTCTACACGCCTCATAGTTATGATAACATAACTATGGAACCTAGATAATTAGATGGTGTTGGATATAATTTTAAAATAACCAACCCAATAGGTTTTCATGTATGCTGCAAATATTTAGAGCAAAACTAACTTCTGTAACAAAATATGAAACAATTATACAATGACACCGTATAACATGAGTTGCAATGTTCTCTCTTCCCCCTCTTTCTTTCAATCATTCTCTCTCTTCTCCCCTCTCCGCCTTTTTGAATCAGTCTCTCCCCCCTTCTGTTTTGGAGGGATTATTATTAGGCGTGTGGAGTGGGCCGAATGGCCTCCTTCTGTACTGTATAATTCTGTGATTCTATGAAATGACCTTAGTCATCCCTAAACAATTTATACGTAAAAAATAAAATAAGATTTTTCAGAGCAGCACATATTTGTGGGCGAAACGCGGCAGCCAATTGCGCACAGCAGTGTCCCACAAACAGTCGTGGATTGAAGTGACCAATTTATTGTTTTTTTTTCTTGAGAAATTTAGGGAGCGGTAGAAAGAGAAAGCTAAAATGTAGGGAGAAAGGAAATTCGTGTGTGGGAATGGGAAGAACAGGGGGTGCTTGTAAACATAACAAAAATGACATTTAATACACAGAGAACAAACATTGCTTAAATCAAATGCAAGGATTATTTTTATTATTATTTTTGTCCTCGATTCCCATATTCAAACCTTCACTGCACCCTCTACTTTGCTTCAATATCCTTTCTATAATGTGGACCCAACAATGCACTATTCCAGCCTCAGCCTAACCCATGGCATACAGATTCATCATCACTTCCTTAACTTTGTATTCAAGTCCAAGATATAGTTCCCCAAATATAACCTTTGTTGCAACTAAAATTTTGTTTTAATTTTCTCTCTTCCTAAACTGAAGGCGACAATTCTTACTAATTGCAGACTCTGCTAACATTTTGATACCCACCTCGACTGGCCACTCTTCCTATGTGAGCCTAGTTTTGACAGGCATTTGACCATGAACTATCCTGCCTAATCTGATATTCACACACTTTCCAGCAGAGGTCATAGGATAGTTCCTTCACTTTTCCTTTGATTTCTTTGCACTATTGCTGATCCATTATATTAAAGCTATGTTGTTTGGCTCTGACTAATACATTCTTGTCTCTGGCTTTGACTACCTGTCTCCCTATTAATATCCCTGTCTACTTGCTCTGACTAATTGAGCCAGTGAGTAATTTTGACATTTAGTTTGACCCCCAGTCCTGTTTCAAATCCTTGACCACAAATACCCTTCTTCCATCACTGAAAAGTTGCCATTTATGTCCCAACCTCACTCCCAATGCAGCCAAAATCCTTATCCGTGTTGTTGTGACCTCTTGTTTGATTTTCTGACACTAGGTTTAACTTATCCAAAACTCCACAGATTGTATCTTTTCCGCAGAAAACTCACCGTGCTCATTACCCCTATCCATGCCAGGCTTCATGGCTCTTAGTACCCTAGCGGATTGACTTCAAGACCCTCATGCTGACCAACAAATGTTTTTATAATCTTGCTCTTTACCGGCCTTCACTGTTTGAGTTTGCATTTACAAGTTCATCAGAATCATTCTTCCTGATTGAATGCCCTATTAATCACTGGAAGAGACAGCTATTATGCTATTTGCTAAATCATGTTATCAAGCATTATACTAAAGCAAGAGACACAGCTGACTATATTTGAAGTTTATCCAACATTACTAGAATTCAATAGATCTAATGTGATATCATACATATTCCGCTTACGCATAACAATTCACTTTAAATTTAAGGTTTAAAGAATAGTAATGCACTTTTATTTATAAAAATACTGTTTGCATAAACACAAATAACTTAAATAGTCCATTGGACAGTACAGCTAGTGTCAGGAATGCCAGTATTTACTGTACACTTGCTTTTTACAGTAGCTTGAGTCTTGTTATTGGTACACAGCATCTCCATTAACATGCAGTCTATGTTTATATCACCAATGGGCCTGAGAAACAGTTCAACAATGATGCCTGCACTGATGGATCGGAGCATGGAAACTGCAATGATGAGATTGATAAAGCGAGTCTGATCCCTTCTGTAAATGCTTTTCACATGTTCATTCAGAGCTTGACGTGCCTCATCATGAAGACTCTGGGTGTATTCTACACACTGTAGTCCTGGGAATTCTGCAAATAATCAAAATATGTTATAATATTATCAACATCATATTTGTGCACAATTAAAATCTTAGTAAGTAATCCACATAAAAAGGTGCAAAAACAAACTTTTTTTTAAGACACTATTTTTATTGCACACTTTCTTGCAAAATGTAACTGATTGGTCCTAACTTCTTGCAAATAAAGGGAACAAACATCTCATATCAATTTATAAGTTACCCTGCTTTACAAAGTTGAGCAATTTCAATTGCTTCTTGATGCTGAAGGCCCTGTTGGTACTGATCAATATATACAATAATACAGTGCTACTGAAGCTAACAGCAAACTCTAAGTCATGTATTTATATGGAAGGGATGAAAGAAAAAAAATAGTTCGTAGCACAAATGAAGATAAAAAAACTTTTGAAAAAGAAAGCCCACCTGAAGGTATTTATAATAACAAATAAATAATAAACAAATAACAATCCTTGCATTTTGTACAGTGTCTTATTATGTCATCGAGATGTCTCAAAGCGCTTCAAGAAGTTAGTTTAAAGTGTAGCGACCGCATTCACAGATGACAACGAGGGTAATTAGTATCTGGATTTCTAAGCCGCCAGCAGGATGGTTGAGACCAGGACATTGGATGACAGTCTTGATTCTGTAATGGGAAAATTGTAGGGTGAATATTCTGGAACTATGAGATCAAATGATCCAAAGGACTCCATACCTATCTGCGATCATGTGAATGATTTATATTGGGAGAGTTAATATGATCAGCTGAATGATTTTTGTTTCGTCAGCCGGGGCGCAGAGTATCACTGGTAAAAGCATGCTTAAGAGTATCCAAGCTAGATTGAGATTTCCCTGCATCCCACCTACATATGGAAATCCCAGAGGCAGATTGTTGGAATGGAACGTGCACTAAACTGGATGAACATCTGTCGACCCAGTCCACATGTGAGGACTATGGCCAACAGAGAAAAGGGCATTAAGGCTTGCAAACCATCCCTTTGGTGGTTCCCAACACCCCAGTTACCTGTAGTCCTGTAGCTCAGTGGTTAGAGCACTCGCTTTGCAAGTGAGAGACCTGAGTTCAATTCCAGGCAGAGGGCGAAACCTTGGGCAAGTTTCCTTACTCCACACAGAGCCTAATAATAATCCCTCCAAAACCAAAACAATAATAAATTGGTCATTCTCAATCTACGACTGTTTGTGGGACATTGCTGTGCGCAATTGGCTGCCGCGTTCGCCCACAAATATACAGTCAGTTCGCTTTACAGTGTGTTCTGTGAAGCGCTTTGGGACGTCCTCCTGACGTGAAAAGCGCTCTATCAAATTATTATTATTATTATTATTATCATTATTACCTGCCTTTGCAATATACCCCTGAATTTCTTCTATTTCCAGAAACAAATGGCTTCTTGATCCCAATGGTATGAGTCCCCCCGTTTCGGGGCAAACCCCCCAAAAAAGTTCAACCCAACCTTCTTGACCCAAAGTAACCGCAAAACGTTTTAGCACCAAACGTGTGTTTTAAACGACAGGTTCTCACCGAGTGAGAGACCCCCCAACACCCACCACCCACCCACCCACCTGCGTCGAACAGGAGAGTCCCTTTCAGGTACACGCGTATTCCTCGGAGCTGATGTCCAGCCTCCAGCACCGGGACCAGGAAAGCTCGGCCGCTCAGGGTCTCGGCCGCCGAGGGCGAGGGCGGGACAGTCCGCTGTGTCCGGAGCCCGTGCGGGAGAGTCGGTCAGAATGCGCTGCAAAATACCGGGCGGGGGGGTCTCCTCCGGGGTGGGGGCGCGCCCCGGGTCCCGCGCCAGTCCCGGCACGAGCAGCGGGGCCGCGCGCCCCCTGACCGGCGGCGGCGGCGGCGGCGGCGGCCGCGGACCCTCCCGGGGCAGCGCCTGGACACGGGGCGCGTTTCCGACGAGCGCTGCGCTCTTCGCGAGGACCGCCGAGGCCGCGGTGCGGGTCACTGCTCGGGGGGGGATTTGAGCAGCGCCGCCGCCCGCCCGCCCGGACCCGCACCCGCACCCGCACCCGCACCGGCGGCTCTCCCCGGGGGGAGACCCCTCCCGCTGCTCGGCGGCCTTCAGGATGGCGAGGAGGACGCTGCTCAGCCTCCTGCCGCCCCCGCAGCCACACGGGTCCGCGGTGGACATCGCGGAGCGGAGCGATGTCCTTCCAAGACTTTTATTTATTTTTCCTGCGGAGACGGGAAAGCCCCCGAGGCTCGCGCGCTGCTTTATACAGAGCTCCTCGCGAAACACTCGGGGGGGGACGGGGACACAGCGCAGGACCCCCCACTGACCGGTCCTGACCCCCACAACTTGGCAGGAATTGGGGGGGGGTGTGGGGTGTGTGTGGGGGGGTTGTGTGTGGGGGGGGTGAGGGTGTGTGTGGGGGGGTGGGGGGGGGTGTGTGTGGGGGGGAGGGGGGTGTGTGTGTGTGTGGGGGGGGGGCTCTCTCTCCGGGGTCACAGGCACCGCCTGATCTAGCTGTTAATGTACAGAAATCCTGAAGAAAAAATAAAAGAGAGAGTGGGAAGGCGAGTGGGGGCAGAGCGGCCAAACCCCACCTCGTGGGAAATCGGGTTCTATGGATAAGGGTATCCAGGACACCGCAGCGAAGAGTTTATAATGCAAAACATAGTTAAGTGAAGACGGCACTTCCCATATTGTGTCCAGTAATGGTTGCCCCACTTTAGGAAAGAGGTGCAGAGGAGATTTACTGGAAAGGGAAGAGGGGACCAAAGGAGACAGCTTCAGGGCTATGGAGGAAGGGCAGTTGAACAACAGTGCCCTGTTATGATCTTGTGAAACATGATGTGACAGTTTATCACTGGTGTTGAAAATTGCTTCCAAACTAACTCGCCTTTTCTTACTCCAACTTTGTTGGGGGGTACGTGGCCCCTTCTCCTTTCTGCTTTTTGTGGAGTCCTGCGGCTCAGTGGTTAGAGCACTCGCTTTGCAAGTGAGAGACCTGAGTTCAATTCCAGGCAGAGGGCGAAACCTTGGGCAAGTTTCCTTACTCCACACAGAGCCTAATAATGATCCCTCCAAAAAAAACAAAAACAATAATAAAAATTGGTCATTTTCAATCTACGACTGTTCGTGGGACATTGCTGTGCGCAATTGGCTGCCGCGTTCGCCCACAAATACACAGTCAATTCACTTTACAGTGTGTTCTGTGAAGCTCTTTGGGACGTCCTCCCGACGTGAAAAGCGCTATATCAAATGCAAGGATTATTATTATTATTTGACACACAAGTTTGGCTCTAGCTAACATCGCTGTTGGAGCATTATGTATCCCAGGATGTCAGCCAAACTGTAACTCATCAGAGCGAAGTTGCTGTTGATGCTCTTCGGAGGACCTCACCTCCTCATCTCATGAAAGATTGAAAGACTGAAGGCAGAAACAACAAACAACAAATTACATTTTAGAACAAACAACAAATGACATTTGTATAGAACCTTTCACATCAGGAAGACGTCCCAACCCCCAACCCACAGATGTTCTAAGTTGCTAACAGCATAATACATCTATTCATATTCTTGAACTTCATTAGTATGGATTCTGTCGTGCACTATTACTTGAGACAAAGAACCATTTTACTATAAGCATATTTATGTATTTTCTTCCAATGGAAGTATTTAGAATCATTAGTCTCTACAGTAATCTCTTGATATTTTGAAGATAATAGATTATTTATGTATTGCTTAACCATAGCGAAATATTAGCATAATAACACTATTTAGCATAACTAATACTATATTTTTTGTGTACACTGGATTGTACTGTGTATCTATTTTGTCATTCCTAAAGAATTGTAATGAATCAATAAAACTTTTGGTAAAAAAAACAAGGACGGCATTCAATCTTGATATGTTTATAAACTAACATGATAACATTAGTAATATGAAGTGAATTGTGGCAAACAGAGGAAGATAAATTTACAAATATATATGGACACATATGTTCTGTCCAAACTCTTGACCAATGGCCTGATGTGTCAGCCTGGCTCAGTTGGTAGCAGTTTTCCTTCTGGTCAGAAAGTTGTGGGTTCAAACCCCACATTGAGATCTTAAGATCAAAGTTGAGGCTGATGCCGCAAATCAATGCTTCTATGAGATGTTAAACTGAGATCTTGTCTACCTGTTCAAGTGGACAATGTAAGGATTGTTAGATGCTGTAGCCCTATTTGAAAAGAGAAGGAAATTTCTCCTGGTGTTCTGACAAACAATCCATCAGATAAAAATTAGTCATTCACTTCATGGATGGTTGTGGGACTTTGCTGGGCACTTTTTCTCATGTGTTAGAGCCCCGAAGGACTAAATAAAATGGGTGCTGATAGGCAGCTGTTATCTGTGGAAAATTTAGGAGTGAAGGATGGGAAATAAAAGAGGAAACATTTGCAAACTGAAAATACAACTGGTGGCTAAATCAGAGCTGTAAAATAAACATAGCATAGATGGCTAACTTAGCAGTGCCTACAGTGTGCTGGAAGCATCATTATATTCCTTATAGGAGTAGCAATGTGAACATTACGCTGTTGTGGCAATGATTTTGAAGGTCAGATTTTGCTAGCTGAACTGTGTTATTTCTTCTGCAGGAAATAGGATTTTTTGCCAAAGAAATGGAATTACTGCATTGTCAGACATTGGTGATAAAGTTAATATGCAGCAATTTATCTGCAAGGACGGTGAAGGAAAGCCAACTATGGTGGCCTTGGAAAAGATAAAATTACATGTTCAAATGCAGCAGGTAATGATTTCATATAACTACAAGTACTGTCCAAATTGCAGACAGCAGAAGAATTAAAATTAGTATTTTCACTAATACTTTTGAATAACACACACAATGACAGTGTTTTATAGGCTTTACAATGGGAACATTTTCCAGNTTTTTTTACTATCATCTTCTTTATATTTTATCCTTATATTTTATTTTAACTTATTGTGAAGTGATATATGTGGCATTTAATGTTATACCTATTGTGACTATCACTGTCAACTTTAAATTTGAGTTAAGTCAGTATTCTGCAAACCAACTCTGAAATGTTGGGATCTGTCAGGTAACAGATTCATATATGTGGGGCTTGTTTGGCCGTCTCAATAATTACTGCATGCAACTTTGATCCCAACTACCTTCATAATATTGTGATATATCAGAGGGGGTGGGCTTGGATTATCAGCTGGGTCATAGTTGGGGCAGAATGTGATAATTGAAAATGAATGCGAATGTTTTAGCCTAATACTTTACCACATTATACTGCTTTACTGCATGGAAGCTTTACATTGACAACGCTACATGTTGAGCTGCATCGTTGGAGGTTTTGTCTTTTGGATGAGAGATTAAATTGAGTCATTTTGTTCTTTAGGAGGACATTAAAGGAAGCATGACACTCGTCTAAACGTGATCGGTGTCATGATGAACAGGTGCCAGTTTATTTGTTGATGCTGAACTGAATACCGAAACTCACTAACTAAGCTTTTGCATTATGATAAACAGTCACTTGACAGCTGGCGCCTGTAGAACCATCCCTGATCAACAGGCTTGTTTATGCAACTGACCCCATCTTGCTGCTTCTAACTTCTCAAAGTCCTCTCCAGTGTCTGTTGGATGATTAATCACTGACTTTGGAACAGGGAAACGACTTCCCGTGATCTTTGTAGAACTTTCAAAGGATTGTGCTTTGAACACCATGTACTCTTGGCAAAGTAGAATGTTAGCGTATGCTTAAAGTCGTGCTACTGTGTGTTCGAAATAAACGGCACATAGGGATTGGCTATGCGGGAAATCAGGAAATTTCTCAAGTGCCCCTTGAATGGTTTCTGAGCACTCCCATGATTTGGCTCCCATACTTATCACCCAGAGCCCGATATCTGGGTGAAAAATAGCTCAAACCAGCCATTCACCCAGAGCTTGCCCTCTCTGATGACTGACAGCTACGAGAGCTAATCTTCACCCAGAGCCTACCCTTCATGATGGTTGTAAATTAATTATAATTTGTGTAATACCAACGACATATGTTTTCAAGTTTTAGAATTTCATAGATATTGCTGAAATCTTTACAAATATTCTGGTATTATTATATTATAGATATTATTGAATTCAGAATCATGTTGACACATTACCAAATACCTCAAGTAACTGCAATCAAACAAAAATGGTATGTTAATTCTTCTCCTTTCAATAGCAATTGATAAAAGATGCAATACCTAGTGAAGTTGGAACTGTTACAAATATCATAATAAATATTTACAAAAGTGGTTTGGTTGTGGAAGTAACCTGCAAATTGCCAAGAGACCTTTGGATAAATCAAATGTTAGTGGTTCACTATAGTACTGAGCATTGAATTACTGGAACATTAATATTCAAGGCCCTGGGAGGCTATGAAACAGCTCCAATCTGCTATTCACTTCACAATCTGAACCATGTTATGTCGAGGGTGAGATGAATATCTATTTTCCTTCAAAAGGAAAATCAGGTGGTTCATCCTGACTGGAAGATACCATCTTGCATCTCTCACTGACTTCAAAAGACAGAAATCAGAAGATATGTTACTCAACCACTCTCAAAGGCTTGAGTCCAAGCAGACTAAAGAAAAAAATGAAAAGTTTATTTTTCCGGAAGGAGGAATTTTTTTCTTTTTCTTTGTCAGCCGGGTGTTTGACACATGCGGAAACCCATCACCATGCTTAAGAGTGTCCAAACCAAACTGAGATTTCCATGCATCCCACCTACACATGGAAAATCCAGAGATAGATTGCCGGAATGGAATGGGCATTCTCTCCCTGGAGGGACACATCCTGCTTTCCTAATTCCGGAAAGTATTAGGTGCAGGTTTGTAAGAGCCAAGGCTTGGGGACCCCAAAGTATGCTTTGGGGTTTTACTGAAGTTTAACTAGCTAAAACTGCACTACTTGGCATTGATATTGCTATCCGGCAAGCTTTCCTGCTGCTTGTCCAGCTAGGACCATCTTACCTGTTAGGACTTTGGCATGCAGGATAACAGGAGCTGAGTGGGATGATTCCCTGCCCCCAGTGACTGGTCTACCCTTCGAGGTCCTGCCAATTGGTCAGGCTGGCTGTGCTGTCAACAGCAGTGGCCTTCAATACTGCGGACCCACCTGGCTCATGAACTGGACTACCGAGACCACCACAGAGGGCTGGCTCGATTCCGACATTCCATTGCCAAGTATGTCACCTTGGAGCCAGTTGAGCTTCAAGGAAACCCTGCTTACCTCCCCCTAGGAGAGAAAGAGGAAGATAAATAAATGAAGGGAATCAAATGTTAACAGCTATTTTTTCTCAAAACTGCAATTAGTTATGAGGACATTAACTTTTTCTCCAAGGGATTAGGCTGAATAGACCTTGGGGAGCTAAGCATGAGGAGAGAAAGTACACTATGTTAAAGTCAAGCTGCATTTTTAACCCCCCTGACAATGTAGGCTGAAAAGAAAATGCAGAGAGATAGCAGACAGCTAAAACAGTGCGACACCAGGGGAAAAATATTTGTCAAAATTCAAGAGGGCAGCATGCTTGACTTACAATAGATACGCTATCACATTTGCAATTAGTTGAAAAAGGCAGCACATCATTTCCCATTGATATCCATTTGAACTGCTTGTGGCACCATAACTGGGAATACATTTTGCCTAGAACTAAAATTCCATGACTTCCTGTCGTGTTCCGGTTGTGTGAAGCTGATGGCCTCACAAAAGAACTGCAAAGTATTAGGTTGGCAAGAGCCAAAGCTTGGGAACCGTACCCCAGAGTGTGCGTTGGGGCACCCCTGGAGTCTAACCAGCTAAAACCGCATGGTTTGCCATTGAGATTCAGAAATATTTTACATGCGACCTATAGATCAACAGATCACTTATTTGTAAAACTTTTATGTTTTATGGGAGAAACTCTTCAATCGCTTGCTTCAGACAAAGATTGTGTCATTGTTTTCTTTCCCATTGTCTAACAAATGAGAGTAATTTGGAAGTAAATCAACTAAGATCAATTGCACTGTTTTTGCTTTCTTGCAGTCCATTACAAGTCAATGATAACAATCATGAGAGTGCATTTGAAACACATTAATTTTTCTGTAATGTCAATGTGTATTTATTGAATATGGTCTAATTTGCTATTCCTTGTTATGAAGGCACAGTATTAAAACATTGTTGGCCTTATTCTGTATGTCTTTATATTTTGAACATTGAAGCAACAGTATCTCTTTAGCACAAATTTGACACTGTTACCATTTAAAACTGACTGATTTTTACATGCTTAGAGAGGAAACCTGAAAGAACAAAGGGGAATACAATTTACTTCCATCAGACGGCAATTGTGGAAGGAAGTTCTCTGAAGTTTCGTTTTCAACAAGGTGTTTGTATGACTGGCGTGTTTCCAGTTAGTTTGCTGCAATCAAAAGATAATGGAAACATTCTGTGGTCCCTGATCCCCGCACCCACCACACACAAAATTTTTTATTTCTGTTGACTTAAATACCTACAAGAATTGCAAAGGTTGAGGATCAATGGACAGTGGGGTATCCACAACTGAATGTGAGGATTTTCACAAGGAGATTGGTGCTGTGAACCTGATTATTTTAAGTTTTGCTTACTTTGGTAGGAACACAACAATAGACACCCTTGTGATGGCAGGTCTGCAGAAAGAGATATACACACCCGGCTTGCTCTAAGGAGAAAATTGAACAGTAAAACTTTTATATTCAGTTGTTTATTTGTATTTATTTATTTATTTCTTTCTTTATTTATTCATTTATTAATCCTTTATGTTCGGTACTGTGTACCTTTAGTAAATAAACGATTGAGCTATTGTAATTGGAAAGTGTAGAAGTGGTGTGATTATTAATACTATTCACCTTCAAATACACAAGCTACACAATCAATAAATAAAATAACAATTTGGTCACTCAATCCATGACTGTTTGTGGACACTGCTGTGCACAATTGGCTGCCGAGATTCGCCCATACATATACAGTCAATTCACTTTACTGTATATTCTGTGAAGCGCTTTGAGACATCTAGAAGACGTGAAAAGAGCTATATCAAAACGCAAAGATTATTATTATATATTAATACATAGCCAAATGTTGGCTCATTGATTGTAATTCTGAGTGATTAGTGCATGCCACACAAGCTTGAATAGGAACGATTCTAAGTTTATCTGAAATTGTTTGAGCACTCATAATCAGGCTACAGAGAGCATTTGATAAATCTGATACCAGACAAATATAATAATAATAATCCTTGCATTTGACAAAGCACCTTATCACGTTTTTCAGACGTCTCAAGAGCTTCACAGAATATACTGTAAAGTGAATTGACTCCATTTTGTGGGTGAAACGCGGCAGCCAATTGCGTACAGAAGCGTCCCACAAATAGTCGTGGATTGAAGTGACCAATTTATTGTTATTATTTCTTTTTGAAGGAATTATTACCCCTGGAAGAGTGATGCACCAATCAACTAACAACCGGGTTCCTGCTTCTCCTAGATAAACAGAGACGTGTGGGGTAAGGAAACTTGCCCAAAATTTTGCCCTGCCAGGAAGCAAACCCAGATCTCTCACTTGCGAGGTGAGCGCTCTAACCACTGAGCTATAGGACTCTTCGATAATAAAATCATGGCCTACACTGCCAAATAGATATTGGCCTTATTCTCTTTAAAATATCTGCATAAATCAGCTTTAAATATTAGCATCAGAAAATAGATATCACATAATGAGTAAAGCATTACAATGATCAGTAATGTGTTTTCAAAGTAAATAAAAACTTGTAAAGAAGGGGTGTTGATAGAATCTTTTAACCCAAGAGGAAGTAACTAAAACCTCTGTATCCAGAGGATATAATTCACTTGGAATTTCTGAAGATATTCGAGAATAATGTTCTGCATCTGAGACTTTTAATGAAGATTATAGTTCATAGATCTGATAGTTAATTAGCAATCTACATTGAAAACTGACTTAATTATAGAAAGCAAAAGGTGGCAAATTGAGAAACCTCCATATGAGGGTAGTGACTTGTAAAATATTATATGGGCTTATTCTGAGTCCCTTGTTGTTCACATGCTGTTCACACTATTCATAAATGATTTAAAACAGTGTACTTCTTGCAATATTATAACATTTGCAACGATACCAAACTGCAGTCTAACCCAACATTATTGAGGCCAATTGTAATGCTTCAACTGCTGTGATCAGATAACTCAACTCAGGTTGGGATTATACCCTTCAACCTGTACAATTTAGCGATGGATAATTGTGTCTGTCAATTCTTCTAAAGATGGGCTGATATCGAGCTGATGGCTAGGGTTATTGGAAAGAACTTCCCCTAATTTGTAATATGTGGTAGAGGAAGGGAGTCATTCTACTTTCGTTTTCAAACAGCTGGTTTAAAAACTAGTTTGTAAAATCCCTCTTTTGGCAAACCATTTTCTTTCATTTCTGCTAGCAGCTTTTTACTTGCCTGTGGACTTTTCTGCAACACTCCCAATTTAACAGATAACTTTCCCTCCGATGAAGTTAAACCTCACCGGAGCTGCTTGTCACCACCCAATGTACCTCTGATAAGAGACTGATGATTTATTGATCACCGTCTACTTCTGTTGCAGGGCTACTGTTAGAGGTAGCCTTGACAATTCTATGACATTTGTTGCTTGAAAACAGTACAGTTCATCACACCTCCAGAAT